TTGAAAAGGTTGTGCATCTTAAAATTGACTTAACCTAAGCTCTGTGGTTAAATAAGCTATACCACTTTAGCTTATTTTGCTATTCAAAGCACCTTAACATGCTTAAGATTAATTATTTTTAATCATACTGTTTTCTAAAATGTGCAGTTTTTTTTCAACATGGATACAAGTCATACATTTTCAGCTTCTTAAAACAATGTATGAAAAAAAAAAAAATCCTTTTCAAATACTGTAACTCTTTCCAAGTACTTGTGATCATAAGTTTTTAGCTCACTTGAGTTTTTCTGGTTTTCTGATCACATTTTGTCTGTCATCTATCTGTCCGTCTGTAAACTTTTCACATTTCTGTCTTCTTCACTAGAACCACCAATTTTAACCAACCCTGCCATAAAGCATCTTCGGGTAAAGAGGATTCAAGATTGTTCAAATGAAGTGTCACACCCTCTTTCAAGAGGAGATAATCAAGAATTAGTGAAAATTTGGTGGTATCATTTTAAAAAGTCTTATCAAGAACCACTGACTGGGCCCAAAAAGTTGAAACTTTCTTTTACATACATTTAGTGTTGATTCAAATTTGTTCAAATTATAACCCACTGGGGTAGGGTGGGGCCACATATGGGGATCCAAAGATTTACATAGAAAAATTCAGAGGATTTTTTCCATCATAAATCTTCTCAAGAACAGTAAGGGCACTATTGTCCCCCATTTTCGTGAAAGGGACCTAGGGTACATTAAATCTCATTTGTCTGTCAGTCTATCTGTTTGTCAGTCTTTCCGTCTGTCACAATAAATTTAATCTTGGTCATAACTTTTGAATAATAAGAGATAGGGCTTTCATATTTCAAATGTACATAACCTACAAGAACTTTCTAAATATACAATGATCTTTGAACCCATGACCATGACCTTGAAGTTTGACCTACTTTTCAAAAAAATTAACATTACTTTAAATTGATCATTTTAAAAGAGGAAAGATAGGGCATTCATATTATACATGTATATTACCTGTGACAAGACCTTTCTAAATATATCATGACTTTTGACCCTGTGACATTGACCTTGAAGTTTAACCTACTTTTCAAAAATGTTATATTTCCTTATAACTTTTGATTGAGAAGAGATAGAACTTTCATATTTGACATGTACATTACCTGTAACAAGATGTTTCCGAGCATGCTATGATTTTTTACCCCTTGACCTTGATATTTTATCTAATTTTCAAAAATTTTAACTTTGCAGATTACTTTTGAATGACATATGATAGGGCGTGCATATTTGAAACAATATGCCATAAATAATGGCATCCCATCCACTAAGACACGGAAAGTAGGGGACCCAATTCTTTGAATTTGCTTGTTAGTCATTTTGATATGGAAACATCCTCATATAGTGTAGATTAAAGTTTTTTATGCCCCTCAATGAATATGGCCGAGGCATATAGTGTTTGTCATATCCGTCTTACATCCTTCCATCCTTCTGTCTGTCCTTCCGTCTGTCCTTCTGTCATGCTTTGCTTTTAGCTCAGTTCAAAGCTCAGTTTCAAAGAAACCATCCAAGATATTTTTATCAAACTTCATATGCTGATAGATATTGATAAGGGCTATGCAACCGCATTAACATTTTTTTAACCTTGACCTTTCCTTTGACCTTGACTTCACTTTTCTTAAACTAGTGTTTAGCTCAGTTTTAAAGATAACATTAAAGATAGTGTAATCAAACTTCATATGTTGATGCATACTGATGTAAGCTATTCAACTGCATCAACATTTTTGACTTTGACTTTTCCTTTGACCTTGACTTCACTTTTCTTTAAATTAGTGTTTAGCTTATTTTTAATGATATCATTCAAATTACTGTAATAAAACTTCATATGCTGATAGATTCTGATGTAAGCTTCTCAGCTGCATCATCCTTCTTGACCTTGACCTTTCCTTTGACCTTGACCTCACTTTTCTTAAATTAGTGTCTAGATCAGTTTTGAATAAACAATTCAAGATATATTTATCAAACTTCATATGCTGATACATACTGCTGAGAGCTATGATTATCATCTACTTTTTTGACCTTGACTTTTCCTTTGACCTTGACTCCACTTTTATCTACGTTTTAAATAAACCATTTACGCAGCTATGTTAAGGCTTCCTGAAGCTTTTAAATGCGCTCAAAACAGAATATGTCGTTGCGAGGTCGGTTTTGGTTTTAACTTATAAGTATTGAACTTAGGTACTTCCAATTTAGATAGAGGGTTTCCTCGGCTATATATTAACATATTTGTTATGATATCACATGACTTTGTTGATCACGTGACGGTCATTTATAATTTTTTGAAGTGTTTCATATAAATCGCTTCGGCGCAGCTGATTAACACAATAATTATTAACATTTTGTTATATAAATAAACTCATCGTATCCTTGTGTATCCGAAATGTGCTAGGGAAAAGTCATAGTATTACTTAGATACAAAATATTTCCTGCGAAATTTAACTTACCTACAAATTCGAGGGCATTTTCCACACAAAAGTGTAATCTGTATTAAAACAAAGCCAACATACATTTTTCCCAAGCAAGATTCAGTTAGAGAACAACCTCTTCTTACAGATTTCCACAAAAATTCTCAGATTAATCCTCATTAATCACCTGCGCCAGACTCTTTTATACACACGCAATAAATTCTACCCCCAACCACCGGTATAAAACAGAGTACATTTCAAAAGTATATTTTCATAAGCATTTTGAGCATGTTGAATTTCAATCAAGGGTATGTAAGCGGTGTATTTTTAAAATATTTGGACATATAAGACTTAAAAAACCTTAAACGACCCGTGAATTTTGCAATAGCTATCTAGCATTTTACATGCAGTTTGAAATGAAGTGTAAAGTTCTTGACACTCTCCCCGTCTTAACACCTCAGATTTGCAGTGACTTGACGTCATTTTCCATTATGACGTCATATTTTGGTAGTTCAGAGATGTGAAGGCACAGAGTGCACTGTGATATTCTACGGGAAGCCTTAACCTACCTTCGTATGATATTTTTATCAAACTTCATATGCTAATAGTAAATACATACTGATGTTAGCTTTTCAACTGCATCAACATTTTGACCTCAACCTTTCCTTTGACCTTGACCTCTCTTTTCTTAAATAAGTGTTAAGCTCAGTTTTAAATAAATCATTTAAGATATTTTTATCAAACCTAATATGCTGATATGTATTAGTGAGAGCTATTCAACTGCATCAAAAACTTTTCACCTTGCACTTTCCTGTGACCTTGATCTCCCTTCTCTTTAATAAGTGTTTTTCTTAGTATTAAAGAAAAAAATTAAGATATTTTTATGTAAGCCTGCACGTATACATAATTTGGTGAGAATTTTTCATCTATATCCAATTGTTTTTAGATTTTAGTTTCAATTCTAAAGAAACTGTTCAAGATATTCTTATCAAACTTCATACACTCATACAAATTTTCATGTTGCATTAGTGATATACATTCGGCTGGGCATTCATGTCCTATGGACGTATTTCTAGTTTTCAAATCATGACCTCCAAGGGTAGGGTCAGGCCACAAGAAGTTTTATATAGGAATAAAAGGGGACAAATCTTCAAAATTCTTCATTTCAAGAACAAGAAGAGCATGATTAATATGGAAACATTCTGAAGAAGTGTAGATTCAAGTTTGTACACATCATGACCCTATGGGATAGGGAGGGGCCATTTTTTTCCTACCCCTATTTGCCATCCACATGGAAATGCAAATTTTGAAACCATTTTACACATCCAAAAGACAAAACCAATCATCTTCCTAATGATCATGAGTTAAGGCTAATGCATAAAATATAAGGGAAGTTCTGGGAACCAGGGTGTTTAAACATGTTAAATATTTAGAAAAAAAGTGAACCCCATTTGACCCCCAGGGTGAAAATGAAATTCCGAAACCTTACTGCACATCTACAGGACACCACCAACTATCTCCAAAAAGATGATTAGACTACTGTGTAAAATGTAAGAGGAATTCAGGGAAACAGGGGCTTTTTGCATAAAAAACGTTAGTTTTCCGACCCCCATTTGTCCCCCAGGGTGAAAATGAAAATTCCGAAACCTTACTGCACATCTACATGACACCATCAAACATCTCCCAAAAGATGATTAGGCTGCTGTTTAAAATGTAAGAGGAGTTTGAGAAAGAAGAGTGTGACAGACGGACGGACGGACGGACAGACATGAGTAACAACAATATACCCGAACTTTCTTTAGAAAGTGCGGGTAGAAAGAGGATTTTTATACCCGCACTTTCTAAAGAAAGTTCGGGTATATTGTTGTTACTCATGTCTGTCCGTCCGTCCGTCCGTCCGTCTGTCACACTCTTCTTTCTCAAACTCCTCTAACAATTTCCGTCGGGAGAGGACAAGCAAGCTTTTCTTTTATGAAAAGATTGCCCCACTGTATGAGGTCTAGATGAGGGCACCTACAACCATCCCAAAACTATACATCAAATAGCACTAGAGAGGAGCCTCAAGGTCTCCTCTGAAAACATTACGCATACCTTATCATATGTTTACCAAGTAGGTGGGAATAAACTTTAACAGCATACAAATATATGCTTTTTGTCAATTCAAATTTTTGAATAAAAATATTACAATACACTGTAGATAAATGCACCACTAAGTCTAACTAAAAGTTTTGAAAGTTAAATGAGCATGCGTTTTGTTTTTGTTTTTTCTGTTTTTTTGTTTTTTGTTTTGTTTTTTGTTTTTTATTTTGTTTTTGTTTTTGTTTTTTTGATTTTTTGTTTGTTTGTTTTCTCGTCTCCCAAATCGCTATAAGTTGTTTCCTATGTGAATTTTTTTTTAAATAATGGAATAATTACCATCATTGGTATCTGTTGTTAAATGTAACAAAAATAGACACAAAGAGAGTAACCCTGTCTAAATTCCACAAAACACACTATTTGTTTATTATATATTTACATTTGAACTATTGTACTTTTTATATTGTTCGATTTTCAGGCCACATGTATTAAGTATCCTGAAAATGTTGAAACAGAGTTTGTGTCTGAGTAAATCCGAGTCCCAAATGCCATTTTCAACCAAATTCTGTCATTCTTTTGAAGTAAGAGCAAAGCCATGTTTGCAGCCGATTGATTTGGTGCATTACCGTTTGCATATGTGTATATTCTGACCTTAATACTGCCATTTTGAACTATGTCACAATAACAGGTGTCAGAAGAATAAGAACTGAGAGACGAATAGAACAGATAAAGACCATTTACAGGGGCTGTAAAGATACCATCGTTAGAATTGTATCCGTTTCCTTCGTTTAGTATAACATGCGGGAAGACCAGTCGTCGTTCAGGTGTGGTACTCATGTCAGAAGTTGACATTGAAGCTGTAAATCCAATTTTGAGTGTTTCTGCAGTAAAGAATGGATAAAGGGTTATAAAAAAAATACTAGATCGTTTGAATATCCCCCCTTTTGCGAATAAAAATCACAATCTAAATTAAGTAAGTTCCTGAATTGGCAAGAAGATGAATGATCCTGTCAACAGATGAAATGAAAAAGGGATTTGATTTTTTTCTGTACATACAAAGGTTTGGCATGTAGAATTCCTATCATTGCTACAGCATGATAAATTATCAACTGATCTAAAGGATATACCTGATTGAACTAGAGACGACATGTTCCATTCAAGAGCAGATAAAGAATTCACCAGATCAACCTGTTGACGTTCTGTTCTTCCGAGACTAGTTTTCAGATCATGTAATGTCATATTCAATTCACCTAAAACAGATTTGATACATCTTACAATTATCATGTCTGAAAGAAGAATTCATTATCATTTTAAACATAACTGTAAGGAAGCATCTTCACAAGATAAGGACATAAGGGTTCCTGAGTCAATTTGCAGACGCATCATCCTTTCAAAATTCTTTATTTTTTTCAAAGGCTGAGTGCAGCGACGTTTTTCAAAGAAATTACAAACACTCATTGTTTTTTTCAATCTCGCAACCAATCGCATTATAAGCTTTTTTGAACAAATAACCTGTGTCACGTGCATTGAGGGCGTCACTGTTTACTTATTGTTTACATTTTCTGTCTACTTACGAATGCCTCAATTTAATCGGTGCTTTGCTAAAAGCAAACCCGAATAAAATGTGATTATAGGGTACAATTGATAATGGACTCAGGATCCTGACTTTGAGGGGATGGTAAGAGGGTGACAACTATCTTAATTTAAGGATTTCCATCACAGCAGAATTTGCGAAAATGAAAATAACTCATATAGTTGACAAGAACCGGTAAATCGTGTTGAATTGCAGTGCAAATTATTTATATTGTTTAATATTGTCTTAGATATGTGTTGCACAATTACTATTCGAAAGATATTAAGTAGCATTTTTTTTTTTAAAAATTACACTGTTTTTGGTTTCTTACCAATATGACATTTTTGTGTTCACAAAACTCTATAAATTTGAGTGGATTCAAGCACTAAAAGATTCATTTATTACCTTCTTTCAATTAGTTTATTATATTTATTTATTATTATTTCACGAATAATGCCAAAATTAAAACATTAGTATATTTCAAAACTGCACACCAAATATAATTAAATACATCTGATATCTGATTTCACCTTCTAACATTTACAAATACATGTAATTTGGAAAATGCTTGTTTTAAAACAAACAGCTTAAATGGAATTACAAACCTTTTAAAGATGAAGTCAACTGTGTATGTGTTTTGTCCAAACTCGCAAGTGAGGATTTTATTTTGTTCTGTTCCTCCTTAACGCTAAGGATATCTATCATAACGTCTTTCAAACCTGAATTCATATTTCCTGACATATTCCTGAAACTCTCTTGTAAAGTATCATTAAATACACTGGATTGTTTTTGTAGGTCCAAAAGAGATAGTGACAAATATCTCACTTGTTTCTTTAGATTGCTTATTGCATTAAGATCATCCAAATACACTGCAGGAGAAGAAGCATTTTTTTGAAATTCCTGACTACAGAAAGATTTCAAAGCAGTAAAATTCTGGCGAAGTTCGTAGTTCTCAGTCTTCAGTTCTGCAATATCTTGTTTCAAAGAATTTATTTCGTTTGTCATAGATGCTTTAAGGCTTGCAAATTCATTCATCATTGTCTCCACGTTTTTCTGCAGGTGAATTCTCAGTGCAGTTTCCTGTGAAAGAATTTCGTGGAGAATGCTGGTATCCAATGAGGCCCCCGAAGTCTCCGACAAATGAGAATGGGGAAAAGGTCCAGTATTAGTTTCATTGTCGGATTGAGGGGCTAGAAGGCATTTCGCAGCATGAAAGATAACTAATAAAATGAACGCAGATTTCCCCATCTTCTCGACACTTCTAAAAAGTGTGAGGTCTACATTAATCTTACTCAACTCTGGATATATATTATTTCACTATATTTGATTAATACTTGTACTTTGTATCTTGTGAGGTCATGAGAAAATAAAACAAACTCGCCATATTTGCACTTTCAACAGATTACATACACGTAATTATGCAAAATAGCTGAGTCTGACGTTATCGACACAATATGGGGACAAATGATGCTTGTTTTTCATAAGTCGCAGTGATTGTGGAGTGATTAGATATGAAGATGTACACTTTGTTATCAAATATAGCAATATGATGACAAAGTTTGGGTCATACAACGCTCTGTACTCTTTTTTTTTTTTTTTTTTTTTTTTTTTTTTGCTACATGCAGATTTTTTTTTTAATTTTACATTTCGAAAACGACTTTTATAATATCGTATGGAGAGAAAGATACTAACTCAATCAGCATTGAAAAATCAAACAGTTCACCATAACTTATCCATGTTATCACAAGGGAAACATTATGAAGTGTTCTTTGTCGTGGATTTTGAAATTTTCTCTGTTAACAAAACACAGTTTTTTATGGTACATATTGTCGTTTCGTACTTATTGTTTTCGACGACAACATGTACCTACCATTACTGCACATATTATTGTCTATCAGTACATTTTGTTACCCGCAACAGTATGTATCGAGACAAGCCTTTTTTATTCCTGCTGAATTGATGACGAAATGTACAGTCACATATTGGCTTCTACTGAAATGTTCCAACCCAGGTTATACAAGTATAATTGGGTAGTTATTAAATCCATTCCTAATAATTCAATTTTCCATTATTCAGTGTAGAAAATAAGACATTTCCACCTTCAATTGTACGCATTTTAAAAATGTAACGTGAGGCGGATTGATGCGTTTTTGAGGTAAGTCATTATGACGTATGCAACAGAGGTTATGCGATGTGCATGTAAACTATTTTGTTATCCAATCAAATGACGCGTTACAACCAAAATTAAATTATAAGAAAATGAATTAAAATCTCTGTATAGTAGATATACCTCTGATGCTTTTTTATTAGCTCATATGCGTAGAAACGCCTATTGCTAGCCTAAACTCACATGTAAAAACACACTTCATATTGGACCAAAGTTTGTCTAACATATCAGGCGTACATTGGGCCAATGAGCACAATGATAATGGACTTATATTATTTGTCAACATTGTCCAATGTAACCAATGTCGTTGACCCATTTTGTCCCAAAGTTAAATTGCTATCGGGAATTAATGGTCAGTACAAATTACCTTTATTTTAAATATTATCTTGCAAAAGGGGATGCTTAATTACCCCTCTAGACACCTGATACTACCTCTGGAATTTCCAGTGGTTCTTGCATTACGCCCTCTTCACAGATTTGTATTGTGTTATGATTTTTTGAGATGGATCACTGTTTTTTATCTTCACCTTTTTCATACAGTTATATGCACATGTATTCTAATAAATTTTCTGTATTATATATCTAATAAATAGTCTTTAATGAAAAACTACTAAAAGTCTAGAGAATTTTAGCGTTCAATGTCTTAGCATTAGTTTGTATTGCGTAAATGAGTATACCCGAAACATTTCGAATACGAGCGTTAAATTTAACTTAAAATATCGAACCCCCATTGTAAACAAAAAAATGTTGTCTGGTCGATATCTCTCAAAGGGAAATTTATGAGAGATTAGTGGCAGCTAGGTAAGATGTGTTTATTTTCACACAAAATTGAAATTATTTATTAATAATTTAGTACGTATTAGCCTCAATAAAAACCTCAATAAGAAAATTATACAGCTTGGTAAGGTCAATGTAATGATGCGATATTAAACACATACAGGACAGACGTCAATTTAAATACCGATACAAAAAAATCTTATTTATTTGAGATTTAACTGAAATAATTAATATAAATCGTTGGGAGATGTTTATTTTAGCTATATAATAAAGGAGTAATTGAACTTATATTGGTGAATATTGCCACTCGTTGGCTGTACAAATGCACTCGCAAACTCGTGCATTTGTACAACCAGCTCGTACCAATACTCACCAATATAAGTTTAATAACCCTGTAATATTCGTACAGTGAGTGTTATATTGTATGTCTAAAATATTAAATATGAAAAAGTACCCCTTACGCTAATTTTGTCTATATCGTTAAAAATATGATAAATGATGCATCACTTATTAAAGAAAAGCATTGTCCATTATTTTCTGTTGTCTTCTAAATTTGTTTAGCTGTCACTAATAAATTGAGTATATGCCGGTAGGTTCCGGAAAACTTTACTATCTATGTTTTTAACAAGCACTTAATACACCGTCAAACACAGCCGTATAACTGAAGAGTTCATCGCAGCCCTTGCTGGAGTCATTGCTGGAGAAAAGGATTAAGAGCGTTAGAAGATACTCCCTGTAAAAATGTTGACAAAAATTGTCGGTTAGTATATTTTATTAAATTTGTCATTTGGAATTACAAATATGTACGCCATTTTACAACAGGGGTTGGCGCTTTCATTTATTTTCTTAAGATGTAAGTAATTTTTTTTTTTACTTCAACAGCGCATTTTCCATCTATAATCAGGAAGAATATACATGTATCATATATTCAGTGTGAAAAAATGTTACTAAACCTGTGAACAGATATAGCGCGTATATTCATCCTAGATATTGACTGCGATGTTTTGACTGGTATTCAAATGTGACCTATTTTGATTGTTTACAGGCAAAAGTAGGGAAGCCCGTGAATGACTCTGCAGTATCTTCTAGCTTTGGCTTCAGCTATATTGTTCACTCTCAAGGTAATAGGTGAAAATTTAAAAATGCTATTATGCATGATTTGATAAAAAGAAACACCTTCTTTTTATCTTATTTCAATGTCGAATTCCAACAAGTATTTAGCGATAATAAGGCAATCATGTACTCAAACGGTATACATTGTAATGATTGCATATATAACACATTTTGTCACACAAAAATGTAATTTGATGAAAATAAATATAATATACTTGAAAATCCAAGCGGGGAAGAATAAAAATGTAGAATCATTTTCTCAGATTGAATCATGTATACTTATTAAGCTATTGACATATCGTAAAAAAATATTTTTGTTTACATTACAGTATAAGACCTGTTTTGCTAAACAATGTATTGAATCATTTCCAACTATAAAAGGAGTGAAACAATGCCCGATGACAGAAGAAGCATGGCTGCATGCTGCCAAAAGGAAAAGGTGTGATGCACTAGCAAATATACAAACATGTGTCCCTGAGCCGGACAGATTCGTGTACCATTGTTTGGTAAATCAGTGGGGTAATGGGACGGTTGAAGTGTGCGCTCCAATATGGATTCTTACAGGTGATACTTCATATTATTGAAGGAAGGGCTTTACTTAAAAACATGAATTTGTTTAAAAATAAGGACAAATCGCTTTTGCTTGCTCAAATAGAGAAAATACCAGCAAATATAGTTTTTAGCTACTCTATCTTGGTCTAATATAATGCTTTGAATACGTGGATTTATTTTAAATTATGTCATACAGTGCAGATGATTTTTTTTCTGTTTTGTGTCAAATTGTGGGTCAGTCTAACTAAACAAAAGCACCCTGAAATTAGGGTGCAGTGTATAGAGGGTCCTTAAGATCGAACCCTTTTTGCCTAATATTTTTTTTTAAAAAGATGTCATCACTGACCACTGACCAGGAGTATTGTGATTTTCTAATGATGTATTGTAGTGCACAAAAGAACGACAATTAAGCATTTCAGCCTTTTAAATGAAATGAATATGTAATAATTTCTGAGAAGTGAATTTGCATATATGCATTGCAATGCTACTACATTGAGGTTTCTTTAAATTGTTGATGTCTACTTTGCAACTATAACAAAAAGAGAGTAAGTATGAGAGAGAGTCATCAGGTATTTAAAGCAAGTAGCACCTGTCAGCTGATCGCACCTTACAGCAACCTACAAGCAGTAAAAATGATATGTGCTGATTTTGTTTTTAATTATCTTCTTCATGTATAATTAAACTTTGTAATTTGCAACATTTTTTTCTTTCCTTTTCGTTTTCACCGTAATCTGAATCCAAAAAAAAAAAAAAAAAAAAAAAAAAATAATAATAATAATAAATTCAAAAATATATATATATTGTTAACAAGCGTTGTTGAACCAAAGTTATCATATCAATTCATGTCAAGCTTTAATGACTGAGTTTTACAAGATAAAACTGTTACTGCGATACTGTGCTACAAAGTAATAGGAAATTTGGGTAATAAAATGTCATCTTTGAATGATTACAGGGCACATTAATTTGGGTTCACATGATATGTTTTATATGAATTAGAAACTGGGAAAATATGATATTCTCTTACATGACTTCAGGCTGAATACTGTCTTTCATGGTTACAAGATATTGTGTTATGATATTGTCTCTCAAAATTACTGAATACTGTGGATAGCATTGTAATGCCATTCACAATTACAAGACACTGAGGATAATGAAATAATGTCTTACCTGAATTCAAGAGACTGTGGATAATTAAATGTATTACTGTCTTAAATCATTACAAGTCACTGTGAGTCTAACATGACTAAAGCACTTTCAATTTGGTAATAAAATTGGATCTGACATGATAAAAAGACACTTTGGGTAATATTGTACTGTTTACATGAATAACAGGATCGCACGCGAGGTAGTCTATTACTTCTTACATAATTACAAGATATTTCGGATAATATATGCATTACTTCTTATATGATTGTTAGACACTGTGTCTAATACGATGCTGTCTCACATGACTACAATTTACTGTGGATAATGTAATATTATATTACCAGATTCGGGGTACTTTAGGCATTGTGACACTGTCTAACATGATTACAAGATATTATGTATATGATACTGTCTTACATGAATATTAGATACTGAGGGTGAATTATAATCATAGGATATTGTGGGTACTATGACACTGTTATTGGGAAAATCGTCAACGATGTTCAGAAGGACTGTACAACTGATGTTAATTCCTGTCCGCTTAGGTACAATTCCTCGGAGTCTTTCAAATGTAAGTCCTTTAATGTTTTGTTTAAAAACTATAAAATACATTTACGTTCTAAAAGTTAAAGACAAGAGAGAAAAAGTATGTTTTATCTTTTTTTTGTTTTTTGTTTGTTTGTTTGTTTTGTTTTGTTTTTTTGCAAACTCGTAATATGTAATTTGAATCGTTAATGTGTGTATATATATATATATATATATATATATATATATATATATATATATATATATATATATATATATATATATATATATATATATATATATATATATATATATATATATATATATCAAAAATATCTATATTTAAATTTTTGTAAAACATCATAAATACGAAGATAATAATTCAAATGCTTAGAATGGTTTTACTTTTTAAGACCCCAGATGCTATGACGTTAAGAAGAGTAAAGAAAACACACTAGGGGATTGTAAAAGGTAATAAAAAGGATCTGTATTTGTCTTTCTGGACATCATCTTTTATTTAAGTTTTAAGTTAATCACATTCATTACTATTTCAGCTCAACGGAATCGCAGAATGAGTGGATGATAATAGCGATTATTCTTGCTATATGTTCCTGTATAATAATTGCTGTTATATGCTGGTGGTCAAGACGAACAACAGGTATGTCGAATTTTATATCGTTACTATGTTCTGTCTCTATTGATTATATATTGCTATATCAGGAATATCATCTTCATTTTCAGGAAAATTTGAATTGAGAAATCATCAAAGAGGTACGTATTTCTTTCTAAAGATACAATGACATGAATCTTTAAGAGTGCCAATTTTGAACATAATGGCAGCTTTTAAACCCATTATTTAACGTTTCCAAAATGTTTTAATGCAAAACTGGAATTTAATGCGTGTTTGTGTGTGTGTTTTTTTTTTTCTAAAAAGGCCAAAATTCACACGGACAAGCTCAGGTTAATGGGGAAGAGGCTTTACCTTTGAATAATGAAACTTCAGATGGTACGCTAAAAACTATTTTTTTTGAAATTAATAAAACGTAATTATAAATCGTAAATGATCTCTTGTAAAAGAATGCATAATTAGAAAAGATATGCTATCTTTGACATGATCTATGACACTATGCAAAAGTTAATTTGATGTGGGTAGCAAGGAGAGAAAAAATAAAAACAAAACTAATGACTAAGAAAAGACTGCAATGTAAAGAGCTAAAACTTTGAATAATTTTTGAGTGAATATCATTATCTATTAAAGCTTGTGGAGCTGTTTCAACCAAGGAGGACGCACTCGACGAAAAACGGTTAGAATTGACAATAAATGTTTTATATTCTTCTCTAAATATTTAAAAGGTAATAATAAAGGTATTTTTGATTTTCTTCTCAACATTTCTTTGTAGGACAAGTGGCAATATAACATCAATTGAAGTCTATGGCAGAGGTAAGGAGGTTCATGATCAACAATATAAATATCATAAAACTTGAATATATATCAACATTTACGTGCAATTTTTTCGCATGATATATCATAATGAAAAAAAAAAAAAAAAAAAAAAAAAAAAAAAAAAAAAAAAAAAAAAAAAAAAAACAACAACAAAATTGATTATTGACAAGACTTCTCTGGCAATACGTATCTAAAACAAGTAAATGTTAGACAAGCTAGAAGCTGCATACTTTGCAAATCCTGACATTTTTTTTTTATCACAGCAACTAAAATACATTTAAAAATCAGAATTTATACGACTGGCAATGTTTAATTAACTCTGCTTCTCTCGTTGTGTTCGGTTAGATCTTCAGCAAATGTAAACAAGTAAGATGTCATGAACTGTTTAATAAAGGTCGTATAATTTGATCAATATTAAATCATATAATAAAACAATTATTGCTGTTTTTCAATCAATACGATGGTTAAACCACATCACATGAGGAGTATGATATTCACCATGCACGAACAGTAATAAATGTAAAATATCTTTTTTTTAATACTGTGTGGGCGTACATGTAATAAGACACCTCTCTCGTTTAGAATTTGTATACCAAGCAACACCATCGAAACATGTTTATAGCAGGTAAGAGTTATTTCAAGAGTTACTTCTCTTGTTTTTTTTTAATCTTTAATAATTTAACATACAAATATTCCGACACATAAAAGAGCATTAGTGGTACATTTGTTTTATTTACATTTTTTAAAATCTTGTTCATTGCTAAAGAGAGTTACATATGGTGTTTATACCTTCTGGTTACCTTTTACTTTTTTTCCAGTGGAAGTTCAAATTATATAAACTCAGGTAAGCCTTTCTATTTATCTAGTTTTTTTTCTATTTGTGATATTTTGCTCTCACTTCTTTAGAAAAGGAATTTTGTATAATTGGAGTTTTTTTCTTTCATTTTCTTATTTTCTCTATTTGATAATTTATATAATAAAAATCAAATATGATTTAAATGTGTATAATTTTTGCAGACCAAAAATTGAAAAAAAATCAAAGAATATATATATATATATATATATATATATATATATATATATATATATATATATATATATATATATATATATATATATATATATATATATATATATATATATATATATATATATATATATATTGTATTTAAAATTCATTCTTAATTGTGCGATAAAAATAGAATGAACATCAGGTAGAGCCGATTGAATGACTTTGATGTACGAGGGTTGTCCAAAAAGTTCGTGGACATATGCTTAATTTTCTTTATAAAGTCCGAAATGGCAAACATGTGCGATCTTAATATAGACCATGATTGAGTAAATGTACAAAAAATTAAAACAATGCACACTATTTACTGAACATTATAGGTGTAAATACTTTGTATATGCAAGTCGCAATGGCCAGTCTGACGTAACGCTTATTTCATGATAATGTCAGAAATATGAATTTTGAATTTTTATCGCATGTTCATAGACGCACGCTATTTTTCTTTATTATGCCACATTGCCAAATGTGTGCAAAAATATTTATGCATAGATTATAATTAATTTAAATTTTAAGATTCAAAACAATGCACAATAATTTACGAGCGTCATCAATATCAACACTTCGTAAATACACGATGCACAGCCCAGCCCGACGGCGCTATATTTATAACAACGTCATGAATAGAAATATATCCTATTTTCATCAAATAACAGTGGTTTCCACTTCTTGTAGTGTCTCCGAAATTTTACACACCGTTGAAAAATCGTATACACCAATTACAAATCACTAGACTAAATATTTTCCAATAAATTTAAGTTGTTTGAATAAATAGTTTGTTTTTGACGACGTTTCAACCATATTAACAATAATTGTATGATTGGACGCTGTCCCGTTCGGATGGCCGACATCGCTTTTTCTGTCAATTTTTGAAACATACTTCTTGCGGTTTTCACTTAATATTTTCATTGTCTATTTAGTAAGCGATACTAAAGGTATCAGAAAATGGCGATAACCGCTTTATTTGTGATAATTTGAATTTATATTCAGCTTTGACTCGTTTTAAAAAGAAAATAATCATTTCAATCAGATCACTTTATTTAAAAGTTCAGGCATTTTAACGCTGGTCCGTGCGCACTATCGGCGACCTTTAATGACCGACATTTTCACAAAAATATTAAGTTCAAACAATAAAAACCAAACTATTCCGACTTGGATTTTCATAACTAATATTTTGGTGTACAATAAGCACATCTTGAGCCATTCATTTTGGCAAAAACGCCATTGTCCACGAACTTTTTGGACAACCCTCATACATTATGAATAAAGACACATTGGCTACAAGAATATTGACTCAATATATTTGTTCAGTAAATGATGCGATTAGTTTTGGGACTTGATTGAAAATTCATCAAAGAAATAGATTTTTTTTATTCACATTGTTAACAAATCAACAAAAAGAATTATAAAAACAATCGAAAACTGAATCATTTATAACCATTAACCAGGTATATTGCATGTCAAATTGCCTAACAACTTGGCCAGGAAATATAAATGTACGAGGGTTGTCCCAGAAAAACGCGAACTTTTTTCAATATTTTTCGTTTCACTAATATTATAAAGTTAAAAATTGGCATGCACTATAATCAACATTTTTTACATAATTCACAGAAATTTCAATAAAATATCTCTATAAATAACATTTTCTCTCTGATAAATCACCCATTCAAAGTAGCTCCCGGCGCAACACCGACGAAGTCAGAACGTAGCTCATGGAGTTTTTGGATTTGTTCAGGAATCGTGCGTCTTTAAAAATTCGTTCGAAGCAGAAATTCGAAACTTCATTTGATTATTTTTAGTAACCAAGCTATCCATTTCACGCGAACTACAGTTAAGAATAAATCAAGGAATTAATTCTTATAATAGACAATTTTCCAACCCCGATCATAAACTTAACTACTCGCATAGTTAACACCGTCTCCACGTATAACGTCCAGCGCTAGACTTCAGTCTGTCGTCATTTTTGTTGGCCTACCAGACGCTTCTTCCATGGGATAACCAGTCCATCCATCTTTGAACCTCTTTTCCGACTTTCCTTGCCCGACTTAGCCGTTTTTGACAATATCTAACTAATAGTGTTTTGTCATATAACGTCATATTTTTTTGTTATTTATGATGTCAAAGTATTAATTTTTTACACACAAGTACTTTAGATCGTACAGTTTCTATGGATGTAATTTTTGTTACATTATGTTTCCGTATAGCCTTGTAATAAAGAAAATTTTAGATGGCAATGTTAATTCTGAAAGTCAAAAAATTGCCGTGCGCCGACCACTGATATTTAACACCCTTTAAATGCTGTTTCTAAATGCATGTGACATTCCAACTTTGCAGTATTTGGTAAAAATGACGAAAATATCATTTCCCAATATTGTGCCAGAACTGAATAATTTTGGTAAGGTAGTTTATGAAATATTAAAAAAGTTCGCGTTTTTCTGGGACAATCCTCGTATATGCTATTCATTTTGGATAAGAGAAGAAGTTTGTTTAACTTCCCTTCGAGAATCTTTTACTTATATTAAAAGGTCACGACTTGCCAGTAGAGGGCTGAAAATTTAGCCCCGTATTCGGCACTTAAAACCTTTGAACTGTGAGGTATCTTTTTGTGCCAGTACCTTCTACGACATTGGACCTCGGTGTATGTTGTCTTATTCGAAGGATCGGTCTCAATATCCCACCGTTCAATTCAAACCCGCGAAGTTAGGATTACTTTGGCAACTCTAGAGCAAATGAATAGATCATTGTTATCTGTAAAAAGCTCAATTTTTGCACCTTTCTTGTTTTCAAGACCTTCTTGACACAGCTACTTCAGATGGAATGGAGACGGATAAGGGAGAAAATGCACTTTCAGAAAGGTTGAAATTTATTATTATTATTATTATTATTATTATTATTATTATTTTACAAATCATATAAGTACATTTACTTAGATTTCTAAACACTTCTACCCATAGAATACAAAAACGGGAAGCAGCAACAAAATAATGAAAATAATATTTAACCGATACATTGTATAGCGTAAAATTTTAAAGAGGAACAATTTTTGTTTACCATAAAAAATGAGAATCTTTTGAATATTTAATTGATTTGTTTAATATTTTAGCTATCCTAGGATGCCAGATACCTTCAGTGAGTTACCATAGCAAACTGAATATTTTCTGACGTCATAGACAATTTAGATCATTTTCTGTATTTCGTAGACAATTAAGATAACGTTCTATATTTTGATCAAAACAAATATATTGCATTCGATTTATAAATTGAAAAAAAAAATAAATAAATAAAAGTCATGGAAGAACTTTCTCTTCTTTTTCTCAAATCAGCTTTTAAGAATAGGATCTTAAGTTTCATAAATGTTTTAACCTTTAAGGTACCAAAAAGAGACGAAGAAGAAGGAAGAAAAATAAACATCATATAGGTAATACTTTGTTCTAAAAACATGCAATGCAAACACTCTCTTCAGAAGATATCTTGGGAAAAAAAAAGAAATTGATATGTCTCTGAATGTTTGTAAAATATTGAATCACTGAGAAATGACTGAAGTGTGTTGTAAGTAGCCTTTTAAAGCTGAATTAAAATCTATATATACATGTATGTCATAGCAAGTTTTAGCGTATGGAAGTCTTCCATATCATTCAAAAATACTCTAACATTCCTCTTTAATAAAAAGAAGATTTATATTAAGGTATTTCCACCATCAATTTTAATGGTTCAAAGTAGGAAAACTTCATTTATTTTCACAGAATATAGTTTAAATTAACAAATAATCACAAAAATCTATAGGTTGCCATATTTTTAAGGCACAAGACGTAAATAAACAGAAGTATATGTCAATATGAAAAATAATACATTTTTAGTAAATAGTATACCGGTAATAAAAATTATGTAAAAACTGGTTCAAATACACTATTTTGAAGTTAAAAGTTCCAAAATAATTGCTTTTATATAAATATATCTGAAATGTGAATATCAGGGAATCCATTTTACATTGAAAATACAATGAAGAAAATAAAATGCCTGAATGAAGGTGCATGAGAAGGAGTTATTGCCGTTAGCAACATTTTTAAAAGATCAAATAATTGATTACGTAAAGGAAATATATATTTTATTCAATATCTTACTTAACAATATTCTTTACTACACCTATTGAGAAGCAGTATTTATCTATTGGCTATGAATATAAATTAAAAACAGTTTTGGCAAAAACCTGTGAGATCACAGGAGGATGGAAATACCTTACATGATGAATCGTGAAAATGAAATGAAATACGAATATAGTAAATCTTTGTTTTTGTTTCTTTAAATATTGCACATTTGGGATTACAAATAGAGCATTATGACAGTTATCAAACTGATAATATTGTAAATCTTTTCCCCTTTAAATATTGCATACAATGTATTTAGAATTTTGAAAAAGCATTATGACTGTTGTCAAACCATTAATACTAGGTGAGAACACTAATCATATATTCTGCTCCACCTAATATATAAATAATTCAGCGTGCATGTTTGATTTTTGCTACAATAATTTTTTAACGGTGATGGAAATAGGCGTTTTTCCTCCAGAACTCCATAAAAATTCATTCTTCTGATTTTCTTTATAATATTTTCAGACGATTTTCGTGTGAAAGGAAAAGGGGGTAAACAATAAGGACATACTTTAATCCGAGAGAAGGTTTGTTTGTAGAGATAAAAACACTTAAATTTGTTGGATGAGGAAAATAAAATAAGTTTTCTGTTTTACAAAGCAAATACAATATATTCAAAAAAGAAGAAAAAATGTATATATATGCTCGTATAAAGAATTTACACTACAATTAAATATTCGTTATTAAAATCATGTCCTTCACGTCCTTTTTCAGGAGGGCAAGGGCACTGATATCCATCAGAGTCGGTGTTTTCATCAATTACTCGACTAGGCTGCTCACACTTAGGCATGAGAAGTGTTGATGGCTGATGGTTCTGCGGAGGATATCTGTCAAGCTGAGGAATCGTTGAATCTTCCTCATCGTTTTCAATTGTTTCGTACGGATTTGCCTCAGATTGTTGATGTTCATCATAGGACATTGTGTTTGACTCAGGGACAGGCAGTCTTAATAAGTTTTTATCGTGTACAAGCGCTTGTATTGGTTCGTAATATACAGGAACGTTTTGATCATTTACGAAGTCATTTACAATAACTCCTCTTCTTTTCCGACATTTGTTTATTGCATAAATAGCAGCTACCATAAAAGATACTGTAAATCCTATCGCAAGAATTAGGTAAAGCGGATTGTTGATAAGTAATTGATCAGATATATTGCTACGGAATCGCACATTATTGAAAATTCCCGAGGATTCAGTTGACTCTGAAGAAGAGTTGTAAGATTTGGATACTGATATATTCTTAAATAATGTGACCTTGGTGAATCTTTCCTCGAGAGAATTGTTAGTAGAATATTTGATGGTTGTGATGCGCTGTGTTCCTATGTTAAGCTGAGAAATAGTAGATTGAAATGATGTGTGCTTTTCGGTGATCATATGCCTAGCCACTGTAGTGGTTTCTCTAGTTGTGTTCTTGTATATAGCTGAAACAGATAACTATATCGATACTATATAAAGTTTACTACTCTTCTAGTTTTTTTTCTTCCATTTAACTTCACGGTTGTGGTTTTTATTAAAAAAAATCATCTATCTCTTTCTCTCATACTTGATAAAAAACCTATTGAGATAAATATAAGTGTTATTAAGGAATTTCTACAATTAGAACGTAAGTTAAGGAAGTAATAAATATAAAATTATTACTTGAAATATGTGCACATCCGGTTTTCCTGTCACATAATTGTTCATCACACAAGCAGAATAATTGGCAATTGACACCATAATTTGGATATCGGCATTCATGAAGGCAGTTTACTCCAAAATAACCGGGTTGACATTCTGAAACTCAAAATAGAAAAAAAGGTGTCTACTTTTTATTTTGATTGTAAAAGGAAATAATTTAATTTTTCTTTTCATGCCCTTTGTCTGATTTAACCGTTTGAATACTTTGTTGAATGAACGGTCTGTAAAATTTTTATGTATCAATATTAGAATGCTCCTTTTGCAAATCACTAATCTTAATACTTTTTAAAAATAAATTTTGTCTGGAAACAATACTGAGATTTACCTTTTGATTGCGAACATCCCGAGGCCACGTGACAGACTGATGGATCACATTTACAAACATGTTGACATCCTTTGCCATAACTTGGGTACCTACAATTGTGGGAGCAATGTTGTCCTATGTATCCCGGGAGGCATTCTGAAAGGAACACGTTTTAATTGTCTAGCGCAAGGTTTATTTTATTAAATAGATTTTACATTTACTAAGACAAAAATTAGAGTAAAATAGGTCACACATTTGCTCATGGGAAACAAACTACCAAACAATGTTTAAAAATGTTACCAGATTTAAAACAGAAATACAGCTTTAATTTCATACTGAAACTGACAATAATTATTTGAAGCAGGAAAAACTTCAAGCAAAATAAAAGAGTTTCAAACCTTTGCATTTTCCATTTTGAGCATGTCTGAAAAATATTATATTTATCATTGATAATAATATCTTGTACCTTATAGTTAAGGCAACGGTAAAATGTCTTTCGTTGTGAGAGAGAAATTAAAACAAATCACAGTTCTTAATGGAACAAAGCACAATCTTCAATGAAACAAAAACAATGCACAAGAAAAAGTACATCTGTAACTGCTGCATCTTTTTGGAGCAATTATCAAACATCGATTCCCTGTGTAAGTCATTCGAGTTATAACTTTACAGAAAAAAAAGAGTGTTTTGCACAAATATTTCAATTGCTTTTATAAAACAGGAAGTTCAGTATTTTTATAAATTTAATAATTGGAGTTCCTGAGTACAATTATCAACTTATTTCTTAATGATAGAAAAATTATTTTTAAATTATAATATACATTTAGAATATTAAAATTGCTTATTGTTATCTTTCAACTTTCATATCGTCAATATATATTCAAAAACAGTGTAAAAAATTATTATCTTAAAACGTCATTCAGAACGTTCTTAATTGACTGCCTGAAGATATTTTATTTCCTCTGAAATTAAAATATCGAACTTTAAAAGGAATTATGCATATATTTATATCCATTTTTTTGAAAATTTTTATCTAAACTTTAATCTTCCAATTACGGACTTTGCTATTTATGTGCCTATCACCTAGCACTAAATATGTAACATAAACTTAACAAATACTCTAATAAACGTTCTCTGGCGAATATTATTGTTTTATTGTATTTGTTTAGATGGAAGGACCGTTTGAATGGGTATATTATATACTACTAGCTTTTTGTAATCCGTTAGAAAATATCCATCACGCTCAATAGTGTCACTAGATGTACGCTTATATCCTTTAATATGGTATAATAATATGCTTTGATATTCAATTTCTTGATTAAAATTAAGTTGGTTTGTCATTGCATTATCGAAAAAAAATTTCTTGATATGATTTAAGAATTTGATAGTTTCATTGATTTACAAAAATCTTTATCATACGTATAAATGATTGTACATAACAAAAGGGTATTGGTAAGGAACATACCATTGAATATTCGCAACAATATATAGTTTCCTTTTTTCTAAATTTCCAAAATACCGATCAGTATGATAAACATCGAAATAAAATATTTGTACTTAATCTGTGCAAGAGTACTTTTCAAAGGACAGTTGAAGCTTGTAGCTTTATTGTTCATGATTCCTCAAGAAATGAAAAAAAAATATGATGCTACCACTTTGACTAATTTGTTTTTGTTGTTTTTTGTTTTTTGTTTTTTGTTTTTTTTTGTTTATAAACATGCATTTGATCATATAAGAAAAAAAAACAATCTTAATTAAATAAAAGCGATTTTTCAGAATATATGAACAAGAAGGCTTTAAATGCAATAAATATATGTTCTGATGACATGAAAAATCTGTCATGTTTATTGACGGCTTCTCATTTCCTGATAATCACGACACTGTTTTGATATTTTGTAACTATTACTAAAATCATAATTTTTATTACCATTGGCCATTTAATGTATGTGCATGAAAAAAAAAAGTTTTACATTTGTTTTAATTTAAATCAAAACTCATTCACTCATTGCTACTTTGTTGAAGTATTGCTATTGGACATTTTGCTACATATTAATAATTTATTAATTCTTTGTGTTAAGGTCATCTGTAACAGTTTTCTTTTCATTCTATCGGTCATATAATCTTTTGCATAAATGTGAAAAAGTTCAACCTGAGTTATATTTATCTTTTGTGATATTTATCAAAAAGACATTTTTTTTTCTTGTATTGGAAATTTTTTTTTGCACATATTAGAGGACTAACAGTCCACCGTATAAACATATTATAGATGAATAACTATTAATAACTACAGACATATAAACATTTTATAGATAACTGATTTCTAATATATAATTTTTTTATTATAACAATTTATTATGCTAAGTATTTTTATTGAAATGTAACAATTATTGATATTTTAGCTTACCAGAAAAAAAATTAAGGAGATTAATCACATAATAACACCGATGAGCTTATAAAGTGACTAAGCTTCATATTCCTTTACAAAAGTATACAACAAAGTGACAAAACTAAGCAAAACTTAATAACAATTACACATACAATTAAGCTAGTACATGTATGAACAAAATACTAATTTAATGTACGATTGAATATGACAACAACGAATATACATGTACGATGTCTATACTGCCTTAAAATAACAATAAACAACATTTTTACAAACTCTGATTTTCTTCCATAAACATACGATTAATGATAGAGTACAGTAAAACTCGTTAAGTACGAACACGGATATAATGAATTTACGGATGTAGGGAAGTCCCTGGCGAAATTCTTTATAAAAATCTATATTGCTAAGTCGCTATGTATACTTTAACGAATTTGTTATATGGATACACATGTATAACGAATTACGGATATAGCGAAGTAAATTCTCAGGTCCCCAGAACTTCTCTATAACCGAGTTTTACTGTATATCATTCTGGTATGTAGAGACCTTGATAAAATTATTTTTAGAATTATTTCAACTTGCATAAGAAAACTGTTTATTTGCTATAAATAATGGACAAATCAACATTTTTTGTATATCCTTGGTATTAACCCCTCCAATATTGTAGAATCAATTGATTATAGAATTTTCAACTGACAGCAGTTCAAAATATACCGGTTGTATTTCAGTATTTTAGATTGAAGTGTTTTAACTTTACACAGGTAGGTACCAGTCACCCAAATAGGATATAATAACCCGTTTCGGATATTATATCCCAAACGGGATATAAATAATTTACAGTATAAAAAATAAAAATGTGAATTTTGGCTACAAATGTCATAAATCTGCATTAAAATACTTAAAAAGGAAAAAGTTTTAGCAAGCAGGTTTTTTCTGCAACCCGACAGTTTGTAAGATTGATCCCCAGGAAGTTAAAGAACTTCCGATGGATCAATCTCCTTTACAATGGGCATACAGAAAAACTTGTTAATCAAAAGTTATTCCTTGATAAGCATCTTGATGCGAATTTATGTTATTTAGAGCCCAGATATTTTTTTTTTTATTTCTTGCAAATAAATTTATATCCCATTTGGGATAAAAATCCCAATCAGGTTATTATGTTCCTTTTTGGAGATTGGTCACAACCTGTTAAAAGTTAAATTGTTATATTTCATTTCCTACTATTCCCAGCTGCAATTTGTATACTAGGAAAATTTTGCTTGTTTATTAAGATTATTTTCCCCAAATGAATTTGTTTATTGACTTCGACAAAAAGAGACTTTTAGATCTGGAAGAAAGTTATAAAGTAAACCACAGTCTGATAAAAAGTTTCAAGCCGTTATGGTTAATCAAAGTAATACATTTTAGATTAAGTATAGTCACTACAAGTATAATTCAAGATTCTACCAGGTCTACTTGGCGGTTTTGAATGCCTAATAGTTAATGACGATGAGTCTGTTAGGATGTTTTATTTGCAAGCATAAATTTGAAGTAGTATTCAAGTACTGCTGTCATTTTCAAAAGCCTTATCCCTTTCCCTCACTACACATTCTTTTCCAATGTCTTTCTTAGGATCTTTGCTATTTAACCATTTTAAGAATTTACGAGTACTACGTACATATTCCCGTGTACCTATTAGCACAGGATGTCAATTTAAAGCGTCATAGACGTTTGGATTCTCTGTCATCATTTTTGTTTCCTCCTAACTTTGTGATTTTGAGAATATTAATGTAATCATTTTCAGTGTTGATTTCGTTCTTTTTGTCTTTGGAATCGCAAGTTTCCCTTTCGTCCAGATCTTCGTACAAGCTATTCCTTTCAGTTCGACTCTCATATTTGACATGTCGGTGTCTTAACTTCTTTCGTATTTTTCAGATAGGGATTCTTCACATTTTTAGATAGACTTAAATCCAACGGCGAGAAGTATTAAGCAAAGAGCATCCACAACACCAATGAGAATCTGAGTTGTTTGTGATTCCTACTTTGATTTGTTTGGTTTTTGCAGATTTCAGCTCATCTAGTGTCTTTTTAGCAGGATGTGTAGTTTGTTTCGGAATTGGATGAAGATTGTCCCTAGATTTTAAATCAGTTATCTTTCTAGCTGAGTAAGTATGTTCTTTT